TCAGATCACATGATGCAAAATTTCCACATTATTTTGCTTTATTTAGAGTAGTCCCTGATTTGAGAAATTGCCCCAAAATTCTAGATAGGAAAAATTTAAGGGAGATTGTTAAGAAAATAACTGGTCAGTTTTCAAATCATCTCAATTTTAAGCGTACTACATTAGAGCTCGTGTAGTCCTTTGATACCATGGGCCACCCTGGAAAGTCCTTGCGGTCCCAGAGACTCCAGTGCCTTAGTTCACTGTGGCTTTCTCCCAGCTGTTTCAGCAGACGCTGCATCAGGGGCCAATCACCTGATACTGCTCTAGCCTTGCCAGCGTTGTTTGGCATCAAGACTGATTGACTGCTCAAGCAGCTCTCTTCTGCCCCCTTCTGTCATAAATTTGCATGTACCCAGCTGGGCCTGGGACAACTTTGTCCTATTCGTTCCTTCAGTAGCAATTTATTGAATATTCGTCAAGTACCAAGTACTGTCCTTGATAGTACTTGATACATATGATATATTCGATAAATATATATTATATACTTGATAGTATTTATCAGTGAATAAAACAGAAAAATATTGTTGTACTTGGAGCGTCAGCCAATGGGCATTTCATCTCAGGTTATCCCCACACTTTGAAGAGAACACTTTCAGAGTTTTGTAGGATATGACTTAAAAAAAACAATTTATACAGATTTTTACTCAAAATGGCTCTCTTGGAGCTCATTCAGCCAGACTTATTAATACTATTAGGAATATGAAAGACTGCAATATTGCTGTTCCACTTATGATACGTGTCTAGCATACTGATGCTCCAATTTTTTTTTAAAGCAAATATTTAAATCAGTTTTCTTTGATAAAGAAATGTTTATCTTAGCTAAGCTTCCCTAGAACAGATACAGGAATTAAGGTGTATGTGATTTACTGAAGGAGTTACTCTTCAGGAAACTCGGTGGAGGCTTGGAATGAAAATGGTACCGTAACGATTTCCCACTCCCCAGACTAGGTAGCTGTGTTAGCAGAGACGGATTCCGCAGAGAAGAGGCAGCTGTCAATTGGCAGTCAATATTCACGGAAGCTGCAAGAGGGGTCCACCAGCTGGGTAGAGGGGATCTGCCTAGGGCACTGACAGTATCTTTGAGAGTGCATTGAATTCCCTGCATGTGAAACTATTGCTGGCCTTAAAGAAATTTCTCTGGTTTCCTGACTTAAAAAACACTTTTTTGTCAGTATCTCCTGAGTGTCAGGCATTGGTATGATTCGTATGTTGGTGAGTATGACATGATAGCTATCATGAGTCGCTATCGGGACTAGCAGGGGAAGCAGACGGGAACAGAAGTGTTAAGATAACGTGACACGACAGCCGTGGGGTCATCTAGGGTCCACTCTGGGAGACAGCATGGGAGTGGTACCCCTGCAGGACAGTGGCTGTGGAGTCAGGAGAGGCTTCCTGTGCTGTGTCGTCAGAGCCAGTCTAGTCAGGGCCCTTCGTAAAGGCCTGTCCTTACTATGTACTGCCATCACAGACTAACACACACTGAACAATTGAGATTGATCTCGCAGCTCTGGAGACCAGAAGTTTGAAATCAAGATTGGGCTCTGCTCCCTCTCAAGGCTCAGGGGGAGAATCCTCCCCTGCCTCTTCTAGCTTCTGGAGACTCTGGACAGTCCTTGGCTTTGGACTGTATCACTCCCATCAATGAGGCCATCTCCACATGGCCTTTTCTGTATGTGTGTGTCTTCTCTTCTGTTTCTTACAAGGACAGTTGTCATTGGATTTAGGACCCACCCTGATAAAAACCCACACTGGGATTCCCAGGTGGCTCAGTGGTAAAGAACCTGCCTGCCAATACAGGAGACACCAGAGACTTGGGGTTGATCCCTGGGTCGGGGAGATCCCCTGGAGAAGGGCACGGCAACCCGCTCCAGTATTCTTGCCTGGAAAATCCCTTGGACACAGGAGCCTGGAGGGTTATGATCCATGGGGTCTCACAGAGTCGAACACAACTGAAGCAACTTAGCACTCACACACTGATAAAAAAGGACAATCTAATCTCAAGATTTTAAATTTAATTATATCTTCAAAGACCCTTTTTCCAAATAAGCTCAGAGTCACAGGTTCCTGGAATTAAGATGTAAATAAATTTTTTGGGACATCCCATTCAATCCAGTGTCATACTAGCAGCTAGAGACGGCTGTTTGTTTATTTCTTATTCAAAATGGAAAGGGTTTGAGCTTAAATTTCTATAATTGCTATATGATGGGAGAGAGACCTCTTAAGTATGAACTCCAAATGCTACCCTACCAATTTACAGTCACCTTTTAGGGTGCAAACTGTGATTGAGAGCTTTTAAACTTTCCCAATCCAAAGCTATTGTTAGCTCCCTTTCTGTGAAAAATTGGAGATATTCATCCTATGTCACCCTTTCAATGGAGGAGACTTGCAGTAACTTCAAGTCAATTTCCCTTTTCAGGAAGGCTGCCCGCAGTGACGGCAAGCAGTCAAGATGGTTTCTGAGAAAGCCTGTTTATTCACAACTCAATATCTGAGGAGTTAACCTTCTATCAGTGGCAGGTGGAAACAACTGTTTGGGGGAGACCTATTTGGGAGGTATACAATTACAGGGATTGGTAAACAACTGAGCATATTAGTGAGAAACAGGGAGGGTCCAGAAAAGCTTCCAAGACCTGAGTGAGCAGGGTAAGTCATTGAGTTCAGCGCTGAATATGCTGAATATGAAGAAGCAGGAGCTCACCCAAGTGGAAAAAAAATCATTAAACTGATGTCTGATGGAACTCTACCTTTTTAAAAAGTTATCAGATATTGGTTTTTATTGTTTTTGCTTTATTTTCTAAGGAAAGATAAATTGAGAATTTTTTCAAGTGCATCATGAGGATTCTGAGCAGCATCTTTGAAGTTTAAACTCAGCATTCTACTTACAATGCCCCCTAAGTATGATGCTCATTCCCAGTCGCTCAGTCATGTCTAACTCTTTGCGCCCCCATGGACTGTAGTCTGCCAGGCTCCTTTGTCCATGGGATTCACCAGGCAAGAATACTGGAGTGGGTTGCCATTTTTTCTCCAAGGTATTCTCCCAACCCAGGGATCAAATCTGCAAATCCCACGTCTCCTGCACTGCAGGTGGATTCTTTACCACCAAGCCACCTGGGAAACCCCAAATATGACGCTAGGCAGCAGTTTTTTTTTTTTAACTCCAAGATATATTTTAAATATATGTAATTTTCTTTGATGCTTAGAATATTTTGCCTGATTCTTAATTTTTAAGTTTTAAAATGAGATGGGTATTTTAAAATTTCCCTCCATGTTGTCTTGTTCTTTTTTCATATTTTCATAAATTAAGCATTCAGAAACAAGCAGTTCATTTATAACTTACATCTTCTTCTAGTCCCTCTATCTTACTCTCATCTTAAATCAGTGAGAAGGGAAATGGGCTTTGTTACTCTTTTTTCTCTTTTTCATAAGGGTGAGTTCCATACTGAGAAAGTCTTTCCTCCCACCTTCTTTGACAAAGTGACATTATTGTATTTATTGTGAACCTGCAAGTATGGCATTGATTGACAGCTCTGTCTGTACCCACTGTTTCCTATCAAAAGACCCTACTTTTTGCACCTTTAGCAGATGCAGAACTTACTAAGATGGCTCTAGTACTAGTATTATGACAATCAATGTAAGTCCTCAATATTTTATTTTAATTTTTTAAATGATCTTTTTATTTGCTCTTCTACTTTATATATTTTATATTATGTCTTGGTTCAAATATTTAGATCAAGACTGTTACATAGTCATGTTACTTTTTAATATGTCTTCATTTTAGTAAACATGTTTTAAAAAAGTGAAAAGTGAACAAAAGTGAAGTTTGAAGGGAAATAAACGTCGAGGGTAATGGAGTTCTAGCTTTAATATGACAGTGAAATACCAACAAATATATCCACTTAACTTCCCTTATCATCAAAGTAGCTGTTGGAAAAATGTAAGAGAATAAGACTTGATTCAGAGTCTGATGAAGACAGTCTACTTAGTGGAAGGCCTACTACTGGCCAATGTATCTGATGCCTAATTATACTGACATACTAGAGGAAAATGATCTGGCTTTTCTATTAGACACTTGAAATGGAAATCTGCATCTAATCAAACATTAGTTCTTGACAATTCCTTGTATTTCTATTTTTATATGAAATCCTTGAGTCATTTTCACAGGAAGAGTGATGTCAACAAGAGCAATGTTTTTCAAAGTAGAAAAACATGATATTAAAAAATGATATTGACTTCCTTTTTTCCCATTAATTAAAGTTCTTCACTAGCAATTGAAGCCAATAAATGGTGCTTGTCATACATATGTGAGGACAAAAGATAGATTCAATTCCATCCTTAGGTTACTGACACTTGTAATCGCTAAATTTTTTGTGCGAATTTAGTAATAACAGTAGGGAGAACAGCATCCAAAGACACCTTGTTTAGTAAGATCAGGAGCAGGCAGTGATGGGAGAAATCCTGATATATCTTAAAAAAAGTCTGACTTCTTCACTAATAGTATTCAAATTTAATGTTTTTGGAAAACTTCAGTGCTCCAGGAATTTTAAGCTTAAGACAGTATATTGGCCTCGATCCCACTGTTTATAACTAATATTGTTACAGAAATTACTTTTCAAGCTTACATTCTTCCAAAATATACACAATCTTATAACTAGATTTTATACTGAAATATCCAAGACGTAGATGTGACCACAGGTAGACCTTGTGATTTAAAGCTATCGGAAAAGGATCACCTAGATTTAAAATTCCTGTTGGATTCAAAGAGCAGCAACAGTGGAAAAGGAAGATTTTTAAGACAATGACAGTTAAATTATACTCATAAATAAAAATGACCCTGATAAAGACTCACATTTGGCTGAATTTTAAGTGGAAGTTTGTATCAGTTTTATAAGGAAAAGCTGCCCGACAAAAAGAAGTTGACAATAAAAACAGGCATCCTACCTCACTTTGGTTAATCTTACCAGTAAAGACGATGGGCAAACTGGATGCTTTGTAGTGAGCGGTCTAACAGAAGTTGAACTAGAGGGCTCTCAAGGCTCCATTCAAACTTGACAGCCTGAAACAAGAGATGCAATTTCTTTACTTTCTTTTTCAGTAACAAAATTATATCAGAATACAGTGGTACTTAAGAGGCTTGAGAAAGGGAAAACAGCATAAACGGTTTGACAAAAAAACTAAAATTGAAAAAATTAACAATTGGGGGGGAAACAAAAACAGAGCATATACACATCACACAATTTAGTGTTGCGGAGTCTGCCTTTTTTACTTTTTTGGCTTTTAGTATCACAGAATAAATAAGAGCAGGTGGTTGGTGGAGTTCAACCATGGCTAGGGAGAGAATCCTGGCACACAGAAAATAATATCATGAACAGTGTCTTGGATATAAAAGATGGCATTATTAAACAACAGATGTTTCTATTCTCTTGGTTTGAAAAAGTGAAAGTCATTCAGTTGTGTCCAACTCTTTGTGACCCCCATGGATCCATGGAATTCTATAGGTCAGAATACTGGAATGGGTAGCCTGGATCAAACCCATGTCTCCCGCATTGCGGGCAGATACTTTACTCATTGAGCCTCTATGGAAGCTCAAGTAAACTGGAGTGGGTAGCCTATCCCTTCTCCAGAGATTCTTCCTGACCCAGGAATCGAACCGGGGTATCTGTGCAGAATTGCATGCAGATTCTTTACCAACTGACCTATCAGGGAAGCCCCCACACTCAAAGCCTTAACTGAAATCACCTACTGAGTATTATCCTGCAGACTTTCAAGCTTTACTTTTAAGTGTCAAAGCTACCTTTCAGTGGACACATAATCTACCCATCCCCCAATCTCCCATTCCTTCATCTGCACGGTGAACAACTTTCTAACGTTTTCTAGGATATTCAACCTGACGGAAAAACACAGCAACAGCAACCTTTGAGACCTAATTTAAACCTCCACACCCACTTCACCATCAGCACTCGGTATCTGGGACCTCATCATCATCTCATGAACCACAATAAGCCGTGAAAATGAATGTCAGGTTTTCTCCCTATCTTTCTAAAAGTACTTATTCCTGCTTGAGAAACAAAGCTTCTATGGCTTGTTGCTCCATAAGCCATTTAAGTCACATACACACACAGAGTTAATACCACAGTCCAGAGAGCAGAAAAAATGGGTACAATGTTCATTCAACATACACCTAAAGAAACACCTCAGTATACTAATTATCCTTCAGGATGGGAATGTTTATGAATTCTTGAAGTGTGAGAATGTCAAAGATGATCTCAGCAAATTTGCATAAACTCGTGATGCTGTCTGAATATATAAAGATCATAAAGTGTGTTGTCTTAAACCGCAGTTATGACCTTCTTTAACTGACATGCTAATATTGGATTGACTAGACCATGGGCTGTGTTCATGCCCTTATAGTGAACATATCCTATGAGTACACTAGCAGGAGAAAGATGCCTCAGAGTCTACTTCTGTGCTTGTCTTTTAGCTTTCTTTTAAGATTTCTGTGTGATTTCTTTATGAACCCAGTAACTACTTACTGACCATGAATGGCCTCCCTTGCTTCCAAATTCACTGCATCACTCTGTCTGCTGCTACAATTTCTCCCTACATCCTGCATCATCATCTAAGAAGGAGACAATATTTTGGATACATGCTTCGCTGGCTTCCTAGTTGTCTCAGTGGTTAAGAATCTGCGTACCAATGCAGGAGAGGGGTTCAATCCCTGGATTGGGAAGATCCCCTAGAGAAGGAAATGGCAACCCACTTCAGTATTCTTGCCTGGGAAATCTCACAGACAGAGGAGCCTGGCAGGATATAGTCCATGAAGTCGCAAAAGAGTTGGATTCAACTAAGGAAACAGAACAACAACAACAACAGCATTATTTTGAACTCTCTTCTTGAAACCTACCTGCATTGTTACAGCCTGTGGTTTGCAGTAACCTCTGGGTCTGTGGCTTATTTGAGCATTAGCTATGAACCATAAGCTCAGACAGTAAAGAATCTGCCTGCAATGCAGGAGACCAGGGTTTGATCCTTTGGTCAGAAAGATCTCCTGGAGTAGGGAATGGCAATCTACTCCAGTATTCTTGTCTGGAGAATTCCATGGATAGAGAAGCCTGGCAGGTTACAGTCCACTTGGTCACAAAGAGTTGGACACTACTGAGAGACTAACACTTTAAGAACCATACCTTCCATTTTCATCATGGTCTTCAAATAACTTCATATTGCTCTTTAACACAGCCTGCACAGTTCTAATAAAATAATGCATAAGAAAATAACATGATTCCAGAAAATAATCATCAGGGTAGGAAATTTTTTTTATGTTTTGCAAAGTCAGGGTGCAGCATCAAAGTTATAAGGGCAAACCCCACAATGAATGTTTTGAAAATTCTTCCCATTTGTTATTTTCCAGTCACATTACATATTTCTTTCCATCTCACATGATTTTATAATTATCATTTTTAATTAGGGAATATTTGCAACTTTACCTATCTTTACCTCTGTGTATTTGCAATGCTGGATCCTGGGTGCAACTTGTCTTATAAATGAATTTGCATTTACAGGCATATGTCTCTCAGCCACATTCCTAGTGTCAAGTGTTACTGACTCAGATTCTGGCTTTCAAATAGATTTAATTTACATATACTATTGTAGAAATTTCCTTTTTTTGAGTTGGGTTAGATATAGCATGTTTCCCATACTCAAGAGGCATGAGATGAATAATGTTTCTGCAAGTTGAATTAATTTTTATTTTCACTACACACTCCTGCAAGGCTAGGGAAACCACAACTGTAAGGAGTGGTAGTAGTAACTCTCTGGTACATATGCTTCTAGATCAGTTCTCTCTTTAAGGCTTTCAGAGAAGTGCATGTTCTGCTTGTAAAGTAACATAGAATTCAATTGTATTATTAGAGACTCCTCACTTTAGTCTCAGGGTCCCTGTCTTAAATTCAAAACCTGAGGCACCTGGCATATAAAATAGCTTATAACGATGACCTGATCTTTCAGATAAGAAAACAGCTGAGTTAAAAGCAAAGCAAAAGAAAAACATACAGACCCCTATTTTAGACCTATTCAGCATTCAGTATCCAGTTAACTTAGAAAAAAATCATTGTTTATATTTTGGATATTCAATCATATACATGACTATCTGTGCAATTGTTTATGTGGTAACATATTCAAACTAAATCAGACCATGATCAGATTTCTAGATAGGTTTATAGTATTTTCCAAAATTACTCCAATATCATGATATATGATGTCACAAAACTACTATCTGGCAGCAGAATTTGATTATTAGAAACTACTGTTTTAAAATCTGTAATTAATATTAGGATATGGGAAAAGCAAGAAAAATATTATGAGCAGACGCCTAGTAACTATTTTCTACATAATGTTTATTTGGTTACTTTTTTATAGTTTTATATATACAGTTGGATAGCAATTTTTCATCACAAGTGTTATTTATTTTTTCTGTTATAATTAATCAGTGAAGGTGTTTTTAAAAAAAAATTTTCCCTTTTGGTGTTTTTTGTAACCATATCAATTTTGGGTAGAGAATTTCTGCAGTAACCAAGTTGACATATGAGCTATATTTTTAGCCCCTTGGCTAGCCAAACTGAAATTATCACTTTTTATGTAGGCTACTGTTGATTCACTGGGACCTGTTTTAGAGAATTATTGGTTAAAATCCTGGAATCCCTTGGCAACTTTGCTGTCCTTACCTGAACTAGCTGTGGGAGATATTCCAGTAGTTCATCATTCAAGAGGTTGTCTAACTGCTGAACTGCCACGTTACGAATTTCTTGATCTGGAAAACTAAAACAAAGTAAATGTACTTACTATGCTGTTAATAGCATACAGTAATGCATGAGAAATATCAAGAAAACAGAGAATTAATTCCAACCCCAATGCATTAGATAAAATAATCTCACAATCATTTAAGATAATCATTATCATCAAATAATCATTCTTTTTTTTTCATATTCGGTGCTCTCCTGTGAACTGCAGTCAAAAGTTCTTTTGACTAGAATTTGGAAACATGAGCTTAAGTCAGATCCTTGCCAACTTTTCTGCCTATAAAATGTGGATTATAGGATATCTAAGATTTTTTTAAAAATATATGAAAATCTTTGCTTGTTATTTAGCCATGTATTTAAGTAAATAATTACTAGCTGGAGATCTGATGGCTTATATGATTAAAGATGGGATAAAACATATTTAAATGAGTCTTTAGGCAGAGAATAATAAAAAACAAGAAATCTAAAGTATCTTACAATAAATAAACACAAAGAATTTAATACAGCTAAATCTTACTAGGCTGTTAAGTTCTTGAATGTAACTATGCCTTACTTATTTTGAACTGCATATGCCTGTTGTAAGATTTAGCACCAACTAAACACAATAAAATCTTGCTGCTAAACTAAATTTATGAAGGTAGTTCACATCTGAAACCCTACAGTTTGGAGGGTTCTCATCTGTGGGTACATAGGGTGGGCTGTACTATGCCCTTTTATATAAGGGACTTGAGCTTCTAGGTTTTGGTTTCTGCAGGGGTGCTGGAACTAATGATACTGATGGATGACTGTGCTCCTCATAACAACTAACACTGCTCCATCAGTAGAACTGTGTGTGTAAGTGTGCACATGCATGCTCAGTCGTGTCTGACTCTTTTGTGACCCCATGGACTGTAACCTTCCAGGCTTATCTCTCTATGGGATTCTCCAGGCAAGAATACTGGAGCAGGTTGCCATTCCCTTCTTCAGGGGATCTTCCCGATCCAGGAATTGAACTTGAGTTTCTTGCATCTCCTACATTGCCAGAGCTCCCAGAAAGTGCCTACATATAAATTTGACACCATGCTTTGACATGATAAATAAATATAACAAGGGTTTTGGTGAGAGCAACACCCTTATTTTTTTAAAGAAACAAATCTTAAAAAATTAATATGCACAATTTAAAATTCGAGGGAACAGTTTAGAGCAATTCACTTAGAAACAAAGAAAAGAATAAATAAGACCCTCAAATCTCTTTGCATGGAAACTATGAATGCTTTTCAGGTGAGAGCTCTAAAGACTGTGGAGGTCAGAACACTTTAGTCTCTAATGCCCAGTCTCTTCTCAGCATGTCCAGTTACTTAAGGGTGAAAGGAATACATGCAGCTATAGTCTAAAGGACAAAAATAGCACCACTCTATTTCCCCAACTGTCCTTGATAGCAGTTTGAAATGTGGTGCTTAAACAGGTTACATATTTTCTCTTCATTCATTTAAACTGAGCATTTTAATTGCAACAAGAATTTCACTTCCAAGGTTGGTCATTCAAAACCTTTACTTCTGATCTACATATACTTTTCCAATAATATTTTCCCTACGGATATTCTAGCAATAAGGCCTACTGAGACTGTAGTCCAGGCACATCTCATGAAGTACCACTAAGGTCAGGTTTCAGCATAGCATCACGCACAGATGGAAAGAAGAAAGGGTGTAATAAAAATGCAAAGCTGGAAGAAGGTCAGCTTGTTTTAGCACACTAAGACTTTATTTTCTCCTAACTAAATGTGATTGACTCTAATTTATTGCTCTCAATTACTAAACCATTTGTCTGAGGCTTGTAGACATCAAGGTCAGTTTGAGGACACTTTGAAGTCTTGGGGGAATAGTTACTTGGTACATTTTGTTGCCTAAGTGATGACTTAGATCAGATACTAGTTATCCTTGCTTTCCTATGTGCCTATTTCATCTTACTGATGTGAATGACAGCAAAGGAGGAAAAACAGAAAACAAACATCACAACAAAATAAAAGTCTGGTAAACACTGTATCTCTAATCATGTGCTTATTTCCAAACACTAGAATGTAAAGTCCTTGAAAGCAGAAAAATTTTACCTGCTTTGTTCACTTACTGTCCTCATTATCTCTAGACTGGGGGACACTCTACATATTTCAGAAATGTCTAAATTGAATTAGTTATCTTTCTATCTAAAGCATCACTACTGCCAGACTTCTGTCTCACAGTCTGTGTTATCATCTTTCTCCAGCCATGTAGGTCTGAAATTTTAATAATTGTTTTCTCCCTCTTTGCTAAAGACTCGTCATTTAATTCCCACCCCCCTCCTTTCTATCTGGTGAAATTCAATTCATCCTTGAAGACAAAGTTCAAGCATCAATTTACTGGTGAAGCTGTTTCAGCCACTTTCTAGAATCACCCCCTTTTCTATGGGATTCTAAACACAAGGTTGAGGGTAGGCTCATTCATTTACATCCCTAGTCCAAGCGTAATTGAATAAAAGTTTGTGGAATTTCTAGTAGTCTCTTATCTTTACATCTGATCAGTTGCCAAGTTCTGTTGCTTTTTCTATCCCAATGGCCCTTGCATCAATGTTGTTATTTAGTCACCAAGTTGTGTACAATTCTTTTGCGACACCATGGACTGTAGCCTGCCAAGTTCTTCTGTTTATGGGATTTCCCAGGCAAGAATACTGGGGTGGGTTGCCATTTCCTCCTTCAGGGCATATCCCCTACCCAAGGATCGAACACATGTCTTCTGCATCTCTGCATTGGCAGGCGGATTCCTTTACCCTGGGCCACCAGGGAAGTACTCTATGCTTGTTTTCAGTTTCTTCTGCAATTATCTATGCTAGGCTATACTTGGCTCACACTGGTATTAGCATTTTTAATAGTAATACCTTACAAAATTTCCTGAATTATTTTGTAAATTCATTTCCTATAAAACAGTAAATGGTTTTCTATTTTCAAAGAAACTTTCAGACCCATACTATTTATTTACATACTAAAAGCTAGCCAAACACTCCAGACTTTTGTACTACTGCAATACTGAATAAACTGCCCTGGCTCATTGTATTCTGTTTTTACTTTGAATATGCTATGTTCATTGTCACCTTTGTAAGTACTGTAACCTCTGCTTGGAACACCCTCCCTTCTCTTCTTAAACTTCTAGTTCTTCTTCAAGCTGTGGATCATATTCCGTTGAAGGCCACTATGCCAGTCCTTAGCAATCACTTCTCTTAACTCCCAGGGCACTGAGCGTTTCCTCCACTGGGCAACTGGGTGTGACAGTGCGTGAAAGAATTTATCATTTTATTAATATGTATCCTCATTCCTCAACTAGTGAATATACTGTTGCTAAGGGTTGGTCTATCCTCTTTTTTTATTTCCAGAATTCAGGACCACCCTCCTTATGTGTTGGGTGACTAATAAAAATACACTGATCATAGGAATTCCCTAGCAGTCCAGTGGTTAGGTCTCTGCCCTTTCATTGCTGAGGGCACAGGTTCAATCCCTGGTNAGCTAAGATCCCATGTGCCATGTGGCATGACCAAAAAAATAAAATAAAAGCATTGCTCACAATAATAATAATAATGAGGAAAATCATACTATGCTTCTTGTGCTCTGAGATAATTTATATATTATATATTGGTAGCAGGAAGTTCAATTCCACAAACAGCATTTATACAAATCCCAGATTTTTTTCCCCTCACAGTCGAAACAGTAAGACAAAAACAAATCTGATGATGATGGAAGAGAAAGAATTTTTTTTTTCCAGGCTCTTTAGGAATAGGAGAACAAAAAACTAGTGATATCTTTATAGAACAGTCCAAAAGGAATATTATGTATTTGTATTAATACACACAAATGTTGAAAGAATGTTTTTGCATTTTCATAGAAAGGGATGTCTCTTTTTATTCATTACTGGTGCTTGAAGTTGAGGAAGCAATTGGAAGAGAAACTGGCAAGAAATGAACCACATGACATCCTGAGATGTGACTAAGGCCTAACGACATTAAAGCATATCCAAATATAACCTGAATCTGACTATTTTAGGAAGAGTTGGCTACATTAAAAGAGATGCTGGCAGTGTTGGTGAAGTTCCTGGAAAATGGGGCCCTTTTATACATTGCTGGCAATATATAGCAACATGTATAAAAAGAATCTTTAAAATGTGCTTATTCTTTGATCAAGTAATTCTACTTTGGGAATTTATCCTACAGAAATAATCAAAAATGTGTGTGAGGATATATGTATGCAAACAAAACTGGAAATAATGTAAATATCTAAAAATAAGCACTGAAGTTAAATGTTCTATGACTCTATGATAAAATACATGCTGTCATTAAAATATTAAAATAATATTTAATAATATGAGAGTATAATGAAACATGTGTGCTTAACAAAAAAGATGGAAAGGAAGGATCAAAATATGAATACTAAATTTCTAGATGGAAATGTCATGGATGACTTTAGCTTTCTTTTTTAAAGCTTAGTTTTTAAAGATTTTTAAACTTTCTATATGACTGTTTTATTGGTTACTAAAAAACAGTAATTTTAAAAGTAAGTCTCATTCAATTAATTATGAAAATACATTAATAATTGCAAATAACTGCACATTTTAAAATAAAATAAATTGAAAATAAATAATTGCAAATTTATTACCACTAGAACAAAGATCCAAATCATGTATTCTTTTAAGAATACACATTGTAGAGTGAAAGAACAAGCCTCATATTTTGTACTTGATTTAGAGTATTCTTTTAACTAATAGGCCCAAATAGGGATCTCTACCCCTGGAGAATTTGTGCTTAATATCTTTTCAGGGCCATGAACTCAGCCACAGATCAATGGACAAATATGTTCCAAAAATCCTGGCCTTTCTTCCCTGTGATGTTGTCTGAAACTATTTAAACATTCTTTGGGGATATAGCTATTGGCATTTCATGCTCAGTAACTTGCTCCTCAATGAGGTGAGGGCTACTCATATTAGTTCTCTGAGTGTGGTGTGATATTTACACACCGAAATGTCA